CTCGGTACGTGTATCCCCACGCGTGTGTGCGCTCCCTCTCCCTTTCTCGGTGTTCTGCCCCGTTCAGTTGGTGCCAAGGGAGGCGGCTTCTCTCTTGGTAACATTTCGGGGTTCGGGGCTCCCTTGCCGCAGCCCCTGCGTTGCTGACGCTGGGAAGTTAAAGTGTTTGCAGTGGAAGTCTGTGCGCATTTGTGGAAATACTGGTGTTATCTTGTTAAAGCCTCTTTTTAGCAGAAGCTAAAAGGCTACTATTTATGTGCTTTTTCCCACCCTTTCAGGAACACAGCAATGCCATAACCCTTTAAACACCCTTCTCCTTAAGAATCCTTTCCTCAGTCTTTCCCACTTCCAGCTGCAGTAGCTCTCCTAATTTTCCCAGAAGAGTGAGATGCATTTTTGCTTCCCTTGGAAATGCATAAATGAGCTCTCTATGTACAAATCACAGCTGAGTTCCCCCCAGCTAGCGCATTACAGAAGGACCTTATCTTGCAATCTACATTTCCCACTGTAACAAAGCGTGACCTTGTTTTCATTACATAAAAAAATGTTTTTCATATAATTGCTGTGACTTGTTCTCTCACATGAATCTCAGCCCATGTTAATAATTGCGGCTTCAATTTTCAGATAACTATTTTTTGTGAGCTGGTGGAAGAACACCAACAAGAGTGCTCTTTAGGAGAGTTGCTGCATATAAGTAACGCTGCCGAGGGCATAACAAGGGTTCTGTTGTGCTCTTCCGTTGCAGAGCCAAGAAAACCTAGTGTGGCATTTTTAGATATTGAATTTAAAGGCACTTAGTAATGTCTGGATGTATCTGTGTTGATATTTAGGTGAAGATTATTTATTTTAAATACTTCTCATTGTTGCATTGGTTTCTAAGGGATGTGAGGCCCCAATAAGTTTCCAGAAAGTGATTTCAGAAGAAATTTTTTCTAAAGTAATCCGTGTTTAAGTTGGAAGAACGTTTTGCCACAATTACATGCTCCTTGAGAATGGGTTGGTCATTTTTCTCCCTGAGTTTTGAGGTTTTTTAAGAGTTTCCTCATGGTTAAAACTTTGTCCATTCCATTCACATTTGAATCGACAGCTCACATCGTCTCCTTCTGTGTCCCGTACCTTAAAGTAACATTCCTGTTTATTATCCCTGTCCCTACTCACATGATGAAGCTTTATAATCTTCTAAGATTGATCCCGTGGCCTCACAACATCAGGAGAATGAATTTATGTTTGTGAAGCTCAAGATTTTCAGAATTGTTCTTTTTTTTCTGGAAAAGGAATATAGGTGAGGAGCTTGCTGAGGACTGTAGGTTGCAGTTGAAGAAATTAATTGTTTTTTCTAAGAGCCTGAGGAGATCAGGTACCCAGACCCAATTTAAATCACATTCTTTTCAGGTGTGAGGATCAGCTCCTGTGTTGGCCAGCCTCTGCTTATGTCGTTCACACTTGATCTCGTGCTTGCAGAGGCTGTGACTGAAGTTATCTGAGGCCAGTCCCCCATTACGTTCTGAATTTCAGCCGAGGGAAGTTCATCAGGGTGTTCAGTAGAGGAAACTTGTGTAGTTATTTATTTACTTTAACCTGTCATCGTCGCTTGTCCCAGTCAAGTCCCTCCTGAGCGGGAACGCTTTGCAGTAAGTAGATCAAGAAAGGGTTGCCAGGACTTGGGGCCTGCTGCCTCTGCAGCTGCCTTGCTCTGTAACCTTGTGCGAGTCGTTCCCTCGCTCTGTTTGCAAGTGGAAACTGAGCGAATATTTATTCCGGAAAGACGCCGCCATTTTTCACGTTTTATGAAAGGCCTCGAGGCTCCTGGCGGCCAGGCGCCGGGGCCGAGCATGGTTGGGTGTCGCGTGGAGGCTGTCACATTGTTTGAGCCGAGCAGCGCCGGTAGCCGAAGGGAGAGGGAAGGCGTCGCTGCATGGCGGTTTGCAGGCGCGTCGGAACGGGAGCCATCCTGTTCTGTCGGGACGATGCCTGGCACCGCAGGGTTCTGGCCCGCCGTGGAGCCTCCCGCGTGAGTTGGCGATGGGAGATGGCATCTTCCTCTACGAGCTTGTGGTTTACGAGAGAGGAAAAAAAAAAGACAAAGAGAATCCTGTGCTAAATATAGTCTGTGTCATTTGTTTTCCCTGTTGCGGCATCTATGTAAATCGCCTCTTTTGTGCTGTCTTCCTTTTGACAATGAAGCCAAATCTCAGTGGTTCCTTGTTTTTATTTCAGAGGTGGTGCAGAACTCTTGTTCGATGGTGTCAAAAAGCATCAGGTGACTTTGCCCTGTCAACCAGAGCCTTGTGAGTATCTGAACCCGTTGGGTAACTTGAAAGAATGTCAACAAGTGAATCAAAGTGGGCTTGTAGAGCGATTTCCTTAGTTGGCAACAAGAATCAATGTATTTTAAAAGCACTTTCAGACATGCTGAGGGTCAGATAGATTGGCAGATGATGGTTAGTCCTCAGAGTAAGTACCAAGCTGAAACAGCTTGAGCATCTTTCCTGTTCTCTAAGCTCTTGTGAATCGAGTCCTTCCTTAAGATTTTTGCTTCCCTCCTCCCGCATAGCCAATGGCCTCCGAATGTCTGCGTTTGTCTTGCTCGGTGCTTGAAACCACCAATAGCCTCATCTGGCCCTTGTGTTTTCTTGCCTGTTCTGAGGTCTCCAAGAGGTAGAAATGTTTGTGTGTAGTGTATAGGTATCTGGGTGGGTGTATGTAACATTTTATCTACTAATTTGGCTCTTAAGTATATATAATTGTTTTATATTAACTATGCAGTTGAAAATGGCAAAGCTAATACTTGAACATGATGCTAGACTCCCTGCGTGTAGCCTTCCCTGCAACAAAAAATGAGATGCTGTTAAGCTAAGGGCTTGAGTGTCCCATGGATAAGCAGTCATAATCTCTGGTTTGTGATTTGGAGTGCTGAGAAGTGCTTTACTAACTCTCTTGTTTCTCTTTTGCACGTCCCACTTCAGTTGCAGTGTAATTTTGCCACAGGTATGTTTTGAATTCTTCCAGCTAGATAGCAATGCTTTATGCCGTTTGAGAGTGGGATTATAACCCGAAATGATGCGAAGCGTCAAGGAATGTTAACAGCTAATATCTCACGAGTGGCTAATACCATAATCTGTGTGCTGTGAACCTTCAGGCCTGAAATCTTCTTGCCGGGCCTGGATGTAATGAGAGATTGGTAGAAGTGCTTTTGATGCTTGGACATAAGTACCCGTAATTCGAATATTATGCTGGAGCAGCGTGTTTTCTTGTGGTCAAGGACAGGGACTAGAGATCCAGAAACATGACCCGATACTGATTTGCTTTGTGAGTTTAGTCGTGTTGCTTAACTTTCCCCTGTTGCTAGTGAAGTAGTAGTAATACTTTCAGGTATCACAAGAGAGTTCAGCATTAAATTCCAGCACTGTTAAAGCACTCACTATCCTTAAATGGAAGTCAGTAAAGAAATGCCAAAACACTCATTAGTTGGTTTATAAACTTGGAGGGTAGAGCATCGTTTTCTTCAGTGTTCTGTAAATTTAAAATACCCATGGATGCTCGTCGCATTGGTGTGGTGGTGTTCAAACTGTGATCAGATGCCCTAGAATAAGGGGTTATTACACGAGGTGTTTATTTCTGCCAGGGGAAGGGGGAGGTTAATATCAAAGAATGATTTTTCTTGCCCAGTGGTGCAGTTGTACGTGGCCTCATCCATTATCGCCTGAAATTATTGGGAAGGCTTCTACTGACTTCACTAGAAGTGGGGTTTATCCTTTAGGATAAATCTTTCCCTGAAGGTCTGGCTCAGTCTCAGGGTTCAAACTCATGAACTTCAGTGCTTTGTTCCAGATTCATCTAACGTGCTCTTGCTCCCAGCTTTTCACACCACCGTGTTTTTCAGATGCTGCTGTCCCCGTAACAAGCTTGGCAGAAGGCGCAGTGTGCCCGCTTGCGAGCTCCCCTGGGTTGCAGCCCGTGGTCCTCACGTGCATTGAGCGGCAGGGAGATTTCAGGGTTTGGGCCGGTCGAGGATTGCAGCAGCTGAGGAGCAGGCACTGGATTGTGAGGCTTCTGCTCTAGTGAGATTTACACCCAGCGCAGGGCTGGGGTAGGCAGACGTGGGGTTACTGTCAGAGTAAGGAGTTGCTGGAGACACCCCTCGTAATATTTCCAGCTGTTGTAGAAGTGAAGGATCATAGCAGGAATAAGAAATTTGGGAAATTCTTGCGGTTTTATATTGTTCCTAACGCCATGCATTTTCCTCAGTTCACACAAAGAAACTTTAATTCACCGACCCGGCGAAGCAGGGATATATGTAGTACGTTCCCTGCTGCCCTCGTGCAGCCAGAGTTACAGGGGTGAGAGAAATAGAACAGCTCGTTTCTACTCAGTGCATCCTGCTGCTTACCTTACTCTGTGGGTCCATCCCTTAATACTCTGGGGAAAGCTCTCTAGTATGAGCACTGCTTGAAGACCTGCACTTCTAACCCCGTTTTAACTGATTTCATTAGCTGCCAAGCTTATTTTTGGCCGTTTTGGCCTCTGTTACCCACTCTTCCTTTCTTTCTAGGTTATTTTTGTCTTTGTCCTCCTTTTCGCAGAGCAGCTGCTTCTCTCTGGGACATTGGGCCCAGCTATATTTTAACAGTTCAGGCAGTTTTATATATATCCCAGAGGTGAGGGCAGGTGGGAAATTACATGAAGAAATACCTACAAATATTGATGTGAATAAAACAAGCCGTACGCCGCAGTTGACAAGGGCAACGTTCTCTGAATGGCGATAATGTTGTCCAAACAGATTCTTACGTGGACATTTCCTTTTCTGTGGTAACGGCTGCTACGTGGAAAGTAGGTGGGCTCCAGATCCAGTTAACTTTTTTAAGAAGACTTGATTCTCTGTCCTTTTCTGACGCCTGGAGATGAGTTCCTGGAGGGATTAGGAAAGGCAGGAGGGAGAAAGCTACAAATGGGACAAGAGCAAGCCACGAGGGGTACAGCCATGTGGCAGGGCCTATTTTTATTACCCCAGGGCCTTTTTGTATCCTACTGTCAGTAAAACAGCAGTTCTTTATCTCCCAAGCAAAGCTATCTTAGCCTGCGTGTAGAATTCGCTGCCGAGTAGGAACTTAAAAATGTGTGATGTATCTGCACAAGCAGACAGATCTACGTAAAGCCGCGCTCCGTGCAGGACTGTGTGATCTTTTAGAGCTGTTGTGGGAAGAAGACCTCAGGTTAAACAAGAGTCTTGTCCCAAATTGCTGGCTATTTGGATGATCTCATTGATAATGCTGTTAGAGGATCTAAAGGCATTAATGCCCTGTTGGTTTATTCTGCATAAAAACAGTGTGTGTGGGAGAAAGCAGCTGGGGGAATAACGATATTTGTCACATGGAGAGAGGATTAAATTGGCAGGGAAATCAACTTTATTTTCAAGCATCTAAGAGGCTATTAGAGACAATGGAGCATAAAAGAGAGAAACCCTAAATTAAAAACTGAAAATGTATTTGGCAGCCTCCTCCTGAAACAAGCCACCGTAATTTAACCAAGTGCTTCAGTAATCAAATAGATCATTGTGTGACTGCTCTGCAAGTGACGCTGGAGCTCCTTCCTCTGTCTCGCTGGGACTCACAGTGGTGGGTTTGTCTGTGGCCATGCGAGGAGTTGCGTGGAGGCTGTTGGAGGGGTGGGAAGCCCCCAGCATTGTTTAACCCTTAGCGTCGTTTCGGGTTTAGCTGAACAGCGTTTGCAAAACCTCTGCTGTGCTCTCCACTGGGTGTTGCACCCAGAGGTTGGAGCTGTTTGTAAAAGTTTGTAAAGGCTGCTCAGCCGCTGGTCGCAGCCGTCGAGTTCCAATTTCTCCTGTGGTTTCAGTGATGAGACTTGTGGTTCTGGAGCAGCAGTGACCAGTTTCAGCAGCAAACGCTTGGGCCTTCTAGGGTAATCAAGAATTCACTGTATGTCTTGGCACTTACAAGTCTGGAAGGATAAATTTTTAATCAGTGTGTTTTGGTAATTGTTTGTGGTTTCCCTTTACCAAAACCCCAGGGAAAAAGCCTGTTGCTAATCAGATTACTTTTTTTTTAGAGGGGAAAATGAAAATTATCTGCCAAGTGCTGCTTATGTTAAATCTCCACAGAGAAGAGCATGGTCGGCTCCTCAAGAGCTTTGCTTTCCAGGGGCCTTGTTCTGCACAGCATGGAGGACTGCTGGCGAGTTGGGAGCATTCATCTTCTCGGAAAAGAGCCTGGGGATCTCGAGAGATCAGACCTGTGTTACAGGCAGAGTGGCTTAAAAAAAGTACAGCAAGGCATTTGTTCAGAGTTGACTGGGATGCTATGCCAAAACAACGGGAAAAATCAAGAGCGACAGTAGGCGCCGGCTGTCAGTAAATGCCCGGTGCTATTGCTAGGTGGCATGTCGTAGTTAAGTTATTAATCTTTTGGAATGCTTTTATTGCTCTGTTTGTTACTCCTAACATTTTAAAACTTGCTCCAAAGAAAGAATAGAAGTATATTTGGTAATGCTGAGGCTTATTAGAAGGATGACTGAAAAAAACAAATCCAAACCATAGTTCTGCAGAACTTCGCTTCTTTTTAACCACAAGGCATGGGACTCGCAGGTCTCAAAGGACTCTGGGGTTATTCCCCTGCTTCTGCATCTCCCTCAGGCAGGTAATTACAGACTGGCTGGCAGGGAAAGGGGGCTCTGTGGTTGTGCAGGGTGGGACCCGGCGTGATGCTGTGGGACTTTAGGTTGGAAAAGACCTGGAAGATCAGCTGTAAACCCAACCGGCGGACCCGGGTTTTCAACCCTGGCACGGGGCTTGGCGGCTGCGTGCACAGCGTCGAGTCATCCTCCCAGCGATGCCACGCGTCACTCCTGCGCCAGGAACGGCGAGTCCTTCGGAGGGAACGCGGAAGCAAACGCGTGGCCTCCCCGGCGCAGTCCCGGCGCTCTCCCGGGAGGCCGCAGAGCCACGTTACCGGGTCCCAGCTCATTGTGGAAGGAGCTTCCCAGGCACCGAGAAAGCAGCTCTGGTGTGTGACCAAACCCCGGGATAGCAAAGCCCGGCTGGTTCCACCCGCCTGCCCAGCGGCTGTATTGCAGTGCGGACACCTAGCAGGGTGACCTGTCGGTGCCAGCCCCCCCCTGCCTGCTCTCTCTTTTCTCTCGGTGGGATTTGCTGTGCTGACAGCGCTGTTCAGAGGGTGGCAGCGGAGCAGGGCTGGGGAGGAGGATCTGGGCCCTTTAAACCGCTTAGCATGCGGTTCACACGGCTCCGGGCCAGCTGTTCCTTTCTCCTCCT